ATTTGTAATAAACATCATACTCAGGGTAAAAGACATAAATTCTGCGGCAAATATATCTCTCCCAATAAAATATGGTCCTGCACTGACGCTTTACACCTGGAACATATAAGTAAATAAGAATAATGAAGTGTATATTCATAGAAGCTAACTAAGCTACAAAGATTTTGCCTGTAGAAGCCAAAAATATTTTACTTAACATCATAAAAGACCTAATTAACCTTCTTTTCATGACACTAATAGTGAGTATTTGGGTTTGAAAGGGAACGAAGCAGAAGTTTCTATTTTTCGATGACTTAATAATAAAGGACTGTTTTACAGAACTACAACAACGAGCTTTATTTGCATGACCATACAAACACATACAGTATTGCGAAAGCTATGTCTAGGAATCACTGATTACAACACAGGACAATTACGTTACTTTGATAATAATTTGTCACGAAAATCAAAACAAGCTGAAATATATTTTTTGAATTGTATATTGCTAAAGTAATTAGAAGAGTTCATCAGTTCATTGATCAAACCGTTTATAGGTAACTGGGTAATATTTGGAATCAGAGTCTTGACTTTATAGTAAAATTTATTCCTAATCATAGGACATTGAAAAAGAAAGTGAACTTCGCCTTCTATTACATTGCAACCACAAAAAGGGCAATGCCTATTATCCTCCGTAGTTTGATTGTATCTACCTATTTCTATCATTAGTTTGTGATTGCTTATCCGTAGCTTCACTAAAGCCCTTCTCCCAGCTGTTCCTCTTGTTAAGTCTAAGTAACTACAGGAAGTATGATTGGTTTTAAAAGATCTATAAAATTCAAGTTTTTAAGAATGTTGAAGGGTGTTTTGCCAATATGAGACATATTCCTGTTTCACTGAACTTACATAGCTTTTTACCATAGCTGTTTATAAAATAACTAAGATAGTACGCGCGCTCTGATTGGCCGACAGGTGTGTTTGCATGAGAGTATGTAAACATGGTTGTGGCGTCAAGTTGTTTGGTTTTTCGCGCGCTAGTCACGCAGGCACAAATTTGAAAAAGTTTTCGAGTTCAAAACTCAAAACGTTTACTTTATTTACCCATTCCTTCGTCGGCTGAAACTTGGAAAATCGTTACAAAGAAGGTGTGTACATTTTTCTTCGCTTAAGATGACCGTTTTAAGCGAGAAAAATCCGTATTTTGCAAAGCATCTTTTTGCAAAACAAGAACTGATTACGCGTGCAAGACTTCGTGGACAAGATTTTGCGACTGGTAAGAATTTCTCTTTTAATCAG